GTACTGTGGGTATGGCAGGGAATAGAACAGGAATCATATTCCTTTCCTCTTCGGTACTTATTAGGGTATATTAGAAGAATTCAAGGGAGCTACTTAAAGAACAAGGGTATAGTTTGAGTATATTCGAAGAAATGATCAGGGTGCTGTTTTAGACCAAAGCCCCTAATATGCTTAAAAGGAATCAAAAAGGTTTTCAGTGTAGGGTATATTAGAAGAATTTCAGAGCGATATTCAAAGAAAGTGTATTTGGGGTATATTCGGAGAAATGATCAGGGTGTTGTTTTAGACCAATTCCCCTAATATGCTTAAAAGGAATCAAAAAAGCTCTCAGTGTGGAAACTGATTTTGCCTCCTTTCCATTATAAGTGTCTCTTACCAATAGGTATCTGTTTCAGAATCATTTGTTATTCTTAATAAAAATTAAGAGAAGGTAGATTTGCAGTGAGGCATCCAATAGGTAATGAGCTGATGTGTAACTATTGTATTGTATTGTAAGGCTTTTACATGCAATTATGAAAGCGACGTTCTTACATTGTCAGAGAATAATCAGACTTCATTCGAACCAATGGTTAAATTTTGGTGTAATTATTCATTTATTTCGAACCATATCTAGGTAATAAAAAAATGTCTGTCAAGATAGTGATTAGAAGTGGTTCTAGAAACAATGTTAGCACTTGACACAACGGCGCGCCAGGACGATGGGTGCCGCTAGGTGCTGCGTGGGTCATTACGGAAGCGTTAACGCGCAATAAGCAACCGTAAACGGGCCACCGGCTGTCGTTAGCAGTTAGCGCCCACCACCGCCGGCGCTGAACAGTTCGCGGCTCACTGCGCTAAAGAAATGAAGCAATGTGACTCGCTGGGCGATCCGCGTTGCCTCTCCTGTCGCCAGTCCCACCCCTCTCCGCTGAATGGCCCCCGCCAGGCCGCCGCGCGGGGCTGGCGCCCATTGGCGTCCCACAGCAGCCAGCGACCAGCGGGTGCTCGGAACGTCTGAGGACCAGTCAGCGCTGCCGCAGACGGTCATCCGGCGTCCGAGGCTGGTTTATGTGTGAGACAGCCCGGTGCTGCAGACGGGGCTACCACAGCGGCCGATTGAGGCTATCTGGGGAGGCGATCCGAGGCTGGAGATATGATTGGAGCGATGTGAGATCATGCCGCCAAACGGCTTTCTTGAGTTGTGATTTAGTTTAAATTGGGACCTTTTTTCTCACTTGCCGAGAAGTGCCTGTCATCAATGGTTTTCGTCCAGAATGAGTAGCCGCTGCTCTGGATGTTTTGGGAGATTTAGTGACGGTGGGGCTGCTGATAGACGGCGGTCCTAAATGGTCTGACTGCCCACGTTTAACGATTTGTTGGACTTGGTGTAGCACATTATGTTTTGTCATTTATTGGCGATCATTCATGCAATCAAATCACCATAATTCATTCGCAACTTAGAGCGAGATGATAAGCGGCTAACCTGCGCGGAACACAAGAGATTGGCCACAAACATTGACATTATATCATTTATAATTGCCAAACTTGGATATTAGTCGAATCAAGGGTAATTAATATTTTGATAAACATAATGGATGCAAAGTTAGCTATTTGGAGCGGCCGGGGTGATTAATGGAAATAAACGCATCAATTATAAAAGTTTTTCTTGGTCAACCAATTGCTACGCCAAATAATCCACGAGCCTGTTGCAATGCGAGCGAGCGTATAAATTTTATTGTCTTCTGCTGTACTACTGGAACAGCAAAGCATTTGTGAACTTGTTGTCACTACCGTTCCCGAAATCCCAATTTATATCTTACTAGAGGTACAGGTTTACGCGATAACTGTATGTTTTGATTTATGTTATGTTACGGGTGCATTAGTTTGGGTGATTGACTTGTATTTTTAGATGTATTATTTGGATAGATTTGGGTAGCTGTTTTTAATTAAACTGTAAGGGTTGGTGATAGGTGCGGGGTGTTCAAGTGTTTTATATGTTAGGCCCTTTTTGAACTTAACCCTACCCCTACCCTACCCTACCCTACCCTACCCTACACTACCCTACCCTACCCTACCCTACCATACCCCTACACTACCCTACCCTACCCTAACCTACCCTACACTACCCTACCCTACCCCTACACTACCCTACCATACCCTACCCTACCCCTACACTACCCTACCCTACCCTACCCTAACCTACCCTACACTACCCTACCCTACCCCTACACTACCCTACCCTAACCTAACCTACCCTACCCTACCCTACAATCCCCTACCCTACCCTACCCTACCCTACCCTACCCTACCCTACCCTACCCTACCCTACCCCTACACTACCCTACCCTACCCCTACACTACCCTACCCTACCCCTACACTACACTACCCTACCCCTACCCTACTCTACCCTACCCTACGCTACCCTACAATCCCCTACCCTACCCTACCCTACCCTACAATCCCCTACCCTACCCTACCCTACCCTACCCTAACCTACCCTACCCTAACCTTACACTACCCTATCCTACCCTACCCTACCCCTAGCCCTACACTACCCTACCCTACCCTACTCTACCCTACCCTACCCTACCCTACCCTACAATCCCCTACCCTACCCTACCCTACAATCCCCTACCCTACCCTACCCTACAATCCCCTACCCTACCCTATCCTACCCTACCCTACCCTACCCTACCCTTCCCTACCCTACCCTACCCCTACCCTACCCTACCCTACCCCTACCCCTACACTACCCTACCCCTACACTACCCTACCCTACCCTACCATACCCTACCCTACACTGCCACCGACAATCCAAGTTTCAGCTAAATCGGCCCAGAAACGGCTGAGATATTGCAAGAACAAATTTATTGTATTTACTGGCGAATCCTCTTGGCGAGCGGTGCCTTGTGTCGGCCTTCGTTGTCAAAGGTCAATGACCTGCCGGCTCTGATGCTTTTCACTCAGTTTTGCAAGCGAACAACTGAGCCTAAAGCACATGCTTTCTGCTCGGCGCCGGTCTCGGCCGCACCACGTGCACACCGCTGAACCCACACCCTCGAAAATTTAATACGACAATTGAGTGCACGCGTCCGACTTACAGCGAAAATTTCATCCCCGTAGCCCTTACCGTTCCCGAGCAATAGCCTGTTGCCGATTCTAGTGTAAACCCTATGGCACACCACGTGAGCACGCGCCACGGGCGCACCCCCGGCCGCATCGTGCCCAAAATTTAATACGACCTGTTGAATGACGCGACCCACGAGTGGCAAAAATTTCACCCTCCTGCGTCAATCGACGGCGCCGTAATAAGCCATTTTGGGAGTTACCCCGACGGCGGCGGACTTTTTAGGATTTATAATATAGATCTGAACTTCCTCTTCATTACCCTCAACCGTAATATCATGTGGCTCTTCTGCGTGTTTCGCCGGGCCTTGTCGAATGATGAATAATAAACAAATACAAATCATATTTGGAGTTTCAAAATGAAGCCGTGATTGCTGGTTGACTTCCGACAAAGGTGCCAGCCGTCACGCTAGACCCGAATTCGCGCCCATTTCTCCACTTTTCACCGGGAGCGTGGTCAAAGCGCGCCAAACTTCCCCCGTCATTGTCGGCTGACCTTTGGAAGTTCAGGAAGCGCTCCGTGGATTGGGAGCTCTGCCCATTACTGGCCTCGGCGCTATAACGGCACGTTCCATTGGCATCAATTGGCGGCCAACTATTTCGGCTACGGCCTGTATTAACGGCGGCTAATGCTGGACGGTGCGCCGGCGACGCTACGGCCATAGACAGTGATTTGGGACGGTCACGAACGTCTGTCGCTTTGGGCTGTGAGCTGCACGCGGTTTGTGCGTGCTTCTGTGAAAGGTTTCTGAACGAAGGTACTATAAAATCTGGGTGTAAACTAATGACAGAGCAGGTCGATTTATGTAGCCTCTCTTGATATAAGCCAAACGGATACGAACACAAGAAGCTAGTTCGATCAGTGGTACCTTTCAAACGAGCTCAGAAATAAAGAATGTGACAATTGGTACATTTTTGTATTTCGATACTTGGGAAAAAATAGTGCTTGTTTGCGTTGAAAAACCATATACCTCCCCGTGACAAGCCATTTTATTTCATTTCCTTTTATGAGGGTGTGAGTTACGGAAATGAAAGAGATCCTGAAAATTGAGTGTCCAACTAGGGGTGGAAGGGAAGGGAATGACAGTGATATTTCAGCTCTGTAACATTGATTTACATATGCTGTCCACATTAGCATGTATGTATAACTTTTTTTGTTCGTTGGACTTCTTATAGCTCATAAAAAGCTAAGGTGGCAGAAAATGAACCCTACCCAATTAAGGCTTCATAATTTTCAGTCCCTCTCCATGTAACGAGCTGACATTCGATGTATAATGGCAGTCAAATGCATAATAAGCTATTAAGCATACATTTGCTCGACTTGCGGCTATTTGGAGCGCGCCGGTCGATAAAACATCACGCTCATAGTTCGATGAATGGCACTTTGACCGGTGGATGCACTCTGAGAATTAAACATTCAGCTCTGTTGGCAGAACAGATCGCTCAAGTGTTTGCATATGAAAGCACTTGTCGATATGTTCATAGAAACTTAAAAGGCAAGGGTGGCCAGGTCTCAGGAGCATATGCATATTGAGAACCTCGAACTAGACCAGTTGGCATTAAGTGAAGGCACTTTGAACTTCTGCGCAAAGAGATTCAGGAACACGGCTTCAGAGTACCCGCATGATAAACGATGTCATGACATTTAACATTTCTCAGCATGGTTGAGCAACTGCCGCTGCCATCAAACCGTCATTTATCCATTATTTTAACACCTTACATCGCGTATTTTGCGAAGCGTGTTCGATACTCAGTTCATCGTATCATTGATCAAGCGCAGGAGGCGTAGCTAATCGCGAAGCCGCCGCAAATGACGTCAAAACGCAGACCCGTGATCACGATCATCCGATTCTAAGTGTACATACCTGAATATATGTGTGTGCCTTCCTTTCAGATGGGTGGCTTCAGCAAGCATTCCAATCGCCTCATTTTGACACGACCACACCCAGAAACGTCACTGCACTGGTCGGTAAAACGGCGCACCTTCACTGCAAAGTGAAGCGGCTCAACAACAAAACGGTATGCGAACCTGGAAATGCCGCTTCGTGCCAAACGTCACGAATCAGAACCAACGAATCAGAAGCTCAAGTTCAGGCACATGTTTCTCTGTGTATGTAGGTACCTATGTGTGGTTCAACTCCTCTCTATGTACTCAACTCAGCTCCAACATCTCCTATGAACATATTCCGTACCTACAATATTGAAAATTTGTGAGGGGACATCCTCTCTCTCCCGACTGGGTAACGATGTCTGCAAACGAACCAAAGTACAAATTCTAGGTTTTATTCGGATGGAAAGTGCAAAATGTTATCCTAATTTCTAATGTGCGAATGTTTGACTAACGTTTCCAGCAGATTTTAAAGTCTTATCGTTTTGTACTGCAGCGTCGCGGGGTCGGACCCATGTCGTGCAGAGCCGATTTACGGCCAAGCCCGCTGCAATACGGGATTTATGGGGGGATTTCTCGGACCGCTCGGACTCGAGATCTCGGATTTCTCAGACAGAACGGACCGCACCTCAGGTACAATGGTGACGCTGTGTCGAAAAAAAACGGTGGAATACAACTAACGAGGCATCGCTGCCCTCATTTGCACTACTATGAGATTTAGCCGAAATTCACTTTCATAGAAAACAGACCCCAAAACTTTTTGGATGTTCATATTTTTCACGAATCATTTCTCAACACCATAAGAACCATACATTAATAAGTTAGAAACAAAAGAATATAAAAGTTTTGAGTAGACCACTCTCCGCATATGATGAAGACTACATGAGTTGAATTGATTAATTATATTCACGCAAAGTAAGCGTTTAGGTAACATGTGACGGGGAGGAAACCAATAACAAAGAAATGGGTTTGGTCTTGCGTGTCACAACGTGAGTTGTACTTGGCCTGCTGGTGTGAGGAAGGAACGGGATGCATTCTACCCATCTTGTGAGGAGTTTTCTATATCTAGTATTATCGGATAGCAAGTCCTTACCATTTTGGTATCGTTTGAATTGACATTTATTCAAAGCAGATGGCGCTGTTGGATATTGGATATTAACTATTGGGTGGACAAATTATTGGATTGGACTATTGGACAGCTCAAGCTGTAATCCTCCCGATGAATGTTTGTGTCGCAACAGAGGCGGTTTCATGTGTCTGTGATAAGACTCGGAAGCATTACGTTACATAATTGAAACTAAGAACATGCAGGGAATTTGCGGAATCCGATGAGTTTGAGCTATATGCTGCCGCTTTTGGCGAGACAGTGCGGACATGATGTTCAATTATGCAAGATCCGTGAGAGCCGAACTGATGTCAATTTGAGCTGAATGGAATTAATGCCCGCACTGAGAAACACCAGCTAATGAAATGGAATGCAGGCTGTCATCAAGTTCGACTTAGGACTTAGGAGTAAGGCAACGTTATGTGTAGGTGATTAATGGGATGATAGTCGAACAATGTCAGGCATCAAAGAGGATGGGCAGGAGGCAAGGAGGAGCAGGAGCTTTCTTAAAAGTGATCATGGCCAGTTGAAGGGAAGAGTACCTAAATAATAACAATATTATACATGAGGGCACTACAGGGATAACTGTAAATACTGTAAATTAATGTTATCTGTAAATAATGTTCTGTATCTAACTGTAAATGAATCTACCAGTGACCTCAGCTTATTGTAGGTAATATTGACGTCTAGTATTCTAGTCTAGCCAGCTGTTTTACGTGCCCGTCTGGAATGATTGGCAGGGCTCGTCACCCGTCTACATCCAGTGCTCCAGGGTAACGCAGCGAGTTCAGTTGTTTGTCCTGTCGTTTGACGCCATTCCGGCGATGCTATCGCACTCTGGCTCCAGTTAAGCAGACTGGCAGCAAACAGCGCGCTCGTTAACGCTAATGAAAGCACTCCTGACGATGAAGGCAAGTGTTGCCATTATTAAATGGCTGCCTCCGAGCCAAGGACTGCTCGAGTGAAATATCCGGCACTTTTCCGTAAGCCGCATGTGTCAGGCACCGACTCAAAATAGCCCTCCACAACAGCTCCGCTAAGTCCATTGATCACATCCAAATATGCCGAATATTCAAACGGGTGACCCCAGCTGCTGAGATGTCTTATCGTCTTAGAAGGTCACCTGCTTCCCATTGAGGTATTTAACCTATATGGCGGGTCCTAGTGCAACGACCGACTAACTAAATAGAGCAAAATTATCAAAGTAGTTGTATTAGGTACAGCTCATTAGACCAAGGGCTCCACCAGGGTTTCAGGATTGGGGGAGGAGTAGAATCCAAAAATGCACACTCTTATACATAACACTGCATTACGGAAGTGTAATTATTGAGGGGGGGGGGGGGGTCCGGACCCCCGCGACCTTCCGGTGGAGGAGCCCTACATTAGAAGGGTAAAGCTTTGTTGTGTATTCCCAGACAGGTGTGGAAGCCGTCCTTACTTGAATGTGATGTATTTTTTAAACATCGAAACTATGACCGGAATGATATTTAGTAGTAGGAGTGTTGAAATATTCAATCGCTAAATTTTAAACAGTTGTAAGCGCAACGCTGTAAAATAGGTATGTAAACACACCGTTTGATGGATTGGGAATTTGTGTCATCCAGCCAGTGACACAGACCTATACTCCCGATGAGCTATCTACCTGCTGGCTCCTGGCGCCATGTTTGCTTCATGAAACGCCAGGCTGCATCTCGTGGCTGGCACTATAGGGGTGACTCGTGACGATAGCCGCCATAGGTACCCGTCGTGATACACTTAGCTACCACGATAAAAATAGCCACCACGCTTCATGAAACACCAGGCTGCATCTAGTGCCAGGTGACTGGCACTTGGGGGTGACTCGTGACAACAAATAGCCGCCATAGGTACCCGTCGCGACACACTTAGCTACCACGATAAAACATGCTGCTGTCATGTCAGTCAGAATGCTGCATTTGACCATGGTGACCAATGCGGTGTCAGAGCTGACCTATGGTTCTACGTTCCTTTTTTAACATTGCATTTTATTTGCGTATGATACCGAGCTGGATTAATGTTAATATAGGAAAATAAACCAAACGACATTCCGTTATGGCCCCAATGTAACAATGTCGTGTTCAAATGTCCCAGTTCCGTCGATAATAGCAGTGCATTGAAAGACGGAAAGTGCAACGATGACACAAAGTGCACTTCAGATGATGTATGATGGATAACAAAGGTGCTGAAATGCATAACTGTGATATAGGGTATGGCTAAACTACCAAGTACCACCAAGTAGTAAGCATGTAACGCACGCTGCCATATGCTTGTATGTACACGTACAACTTCTAAAACATTTGTGGCTGCACATTCCTGACAGTGACGATCGATAATGTGCTGTTTGGTTTCCTAGTTGCTCAACGATGCATCCAGTGGTCAGTAATGTAACGTTGAGCTTTATAACCGAAGGCTTGTGTTCAATAGTTAAAACATAGTGTAATAAATAAGTTATTTATTACGCTATGGTTAAAAACACTATTCGTTAGAACTGTTTTTACTGAAAAACAAACCCGAGTTCCCGGACAGTTTTGCATGTAGTCGCAGACAATCCATCGTGAGAACCACAGGTCTTAAAAGAATATCATCTTCAGATTAAAATGTCGGAGATTCATGGTTGTCCATGTCGATCGTGACCCGACCTAGCCCGACCAGCCCCTTCCAGTCCGTCTGATTCGACCTGACCCGCTCTGACCTGACCAGTTCTCTCCCCTCGACAGGTCTCGTGGATCCGGGCTCGTGACCTGCACATTCTGACCGCCGGCACGGACACATACACCAACGACGCGCGGTTCCAGGTAGCGCGCGACGCGGCTCGGAACGACTGGACGCTGATGATCAAGTTCGCGCAGGAGTCGGACTCCGGCACGTACGAGTGTCAGATCTCCACTCAGCCGCTCATCGCCTACCCGGTCCAGCTCAAGGTCGTCTGTGAGTATGGCGCCTATGGCGTTGGTGGTCAGAGGGTGGTGAGCGGTAGGATATGGTGTGTGAAAAGTGAATGAGCTATGCAGCTTCATGCTCAAAGAATCGAAACATAAACCTCGAATCATAACTTCATTATACAAACGAAAAAGCTCACATTCGAACCAGCGCCATTGGACGCATTGCTGTCCCCGGTTTCCAAACAGTGCTGCAAATCTGATTACTATCACCCGTTGGGCAGCAGTGCAACGTGAATAATTAATGGAGATTACAGCTGAACCCAATGCATTTTAATTAGCTTATACGATGCTATGATTCAAAGGAAAGGTAATTTATTGGAACAAATAGCGTATGAATGTGATAAGGAACATTGAACAAAAAAAAAAACTTGGAGTGTTTCTGTTCAGGACTAGATTATGCGCACACACACCCGCCAAGAAACGGACAAACACACAGGATTTTATATATTTCGATTTTACTCTACCGTTAGAGCACATATGAGGATTAGTTTTTAGTTAATAAAATGCTTAATTTATCGTTGGTGGCTGACAATCGTTGCATCATGAGGTTGTTCTCAAATATGATCAAATATGTCATGGAAATATCCCTTTAGCATGTATCATCCTCTTTCCAGATACTTTCACTTATTCTGAGCTCAAACCCCTGATGTATGTAGTTGCTCCCACCCCCGCTGTATCCCCTGGCCCTCCTCTGTTCGCTGGCCGATGTCCAGCCGTCTCCGGGGCGCGCTGTCCGGCTGTCCTGTGCGGCGTGACAGCGCTGTCGGTCGGGCCGCGATGACGGATGACGCCCCGCTCCTGCGCCATTTGTTAACGCCGCCTCTGTGGAGCAGGGACAGAGCACATCCGTCACCCTGAGCCGGCACGGAGCCGTTTTGTGCAGAGCCGAGACAGGGGCGGGCCGCAGCCGGCCAGGGCGGATAGATGCGGCGGGGACGCGGTCTTTATGGGATAGGTTGACAAGCTCGGCACTCGGCAAAGCTTAGTAGTGTTTAAGAAAAGATTTCGACGACTTTGAAGAAGGAAGCGATATAGTTTTGGGTTAAAATTACTTTTTTACTTGATTTGTCAACATACGAAGCTAGTAACTTGTATCCATTTTATTCTTGCTTACATTGTCCTTAAATTGCTTGTCAACAAATCGAAAGGATCACCACGTAGGTAAGTACTCGACAGGACTAAGAGTGCTGACAAGAAGTTTCTTAATCCGAGGATTGGTTATTCAATTCAAGAAAACGATGAACATTTTGTACATGTGTGCTCTCTCCTCTTCATCTCTTTGGTCGGACCGTGTTTTTATGTTGAGAGCAGTTGTCATTTTCTGTTTGCATTACGACTGTAAAAAAACATTACACACTTGCAGAAACTAAACTGACCACGACATAACAGGACCGTTGCGTTCGTTTGTGCCACGTTTTAATCCACTGCTCTCGGTACGGGACGCTTTTGGCGTCGACTCAGACTCGCCCACTTCCTCTCGGAGATGTTTATGTGTTTACTGTTCGGCAAATCTGATGGTCTCTCGCTGAGCCGTGTAGTGACATCCAGTGGTTGGGGTCGGTTCTGCGCTCGCACGCGACACCGCCTCGGCTTATTGTGGCGCTGGGGGCAGGTAGCCCGGTTTTTACAGCCGGTCATTTGTCGCCGGCTTCTTCGGTCAAAACAACGCATTCGCTCGCTTATTCGTCTGCCGGTCACGCGATTCGAAAGAAGCGAAATCCTATTTTGGAATGGCAGTAGAAATCGTCCTCGACGCGAAAAGTCACGTCAAGTTGAAGCTTCAGATGATACCGGAGAAATGCATGGTCCTAACATTGGGTTTTTCAGTAGATTAAGGGGTGGGCCCGTACTTACAAATGACCTGCGAGCATATTATATATTCCTGGAGGAGGCTGCTTATTGCCAGATGTAATGCAATGCTCTATGATGCATGCATATTGATGAATTGACATGAGCAATATGATACCCTGGTGCTTTTACGTGATGTCGTGACAGTTGTTAACTTTTGACATAATACGAACATATACGAGCCCATATACGAGCGTTAATGTGAGGAAAAAATGCGCCTATTGAGCGTTGCAGCCAAAGGGACGTTATAGGGAACTTACAGATGTTATTGAATAAAAAGTTCCAGCATACTAAATTCAAAAACACCCGATCTTTTGACAGTGAAACAGCATGTCGGCCTTCTCTGCAACTGTTGTGTCTCCGGGATGATTCGATGCCACTCGACAGTTTGGGCGGCGTCTGGAACGTTTGAGTTAAACTGAATCTGACCGGTCGTCGATTGTTTGTTTGTCCGCCAGTGCCGGAGTCCAGGATTCTGGGCGGCGCCGACATGTACATCAACCGGGGCAGTCTGATCAACTTGACCTGTGTGGTCACTAACTCGCCGGAGCCGCCCGCCTACATCTTCTGGTATCACGGGGACAAGGTAAGCTAGTCATTTCCCTGCGTAAGTGTTTTAAAGTGGAAACCAGAGGTCAAAAAAACTTATTTTGTGTCACCTACAAAAATTTTCAACCCCCTTTGTGTCCCCTGCCCCCAGAGGCCGGATAAGTGTTGCACTAGGGTGATAAAATTGGGAAAAAAATCTAGGCTTCATCAGGCCAATGTTAATGTTAGTGTCGCCAATGTTAGTGTGGCCCTAAACCTGGATAATGTATTATTACAGTGTCCCAAAATTTGTTGATTTGGGTGGGAAATACTGAGATTCATTTGCCACTCTCACCACCAATTTCTAAGAGCAATTAACCACTCTCAGCCAAGAACACCTTGTTACCTCAAAAGGCAGTTCAGGTGTGGTGGACTTAAACAGGTGGACAGGTGTGGTGGACTGAGTTGTGTGGATACTTGGAGTTGGTTTATGATCATAATAGATACTCATGGATAAAACTAAATGCTATTGATCTTTTCTCACTCTTTTTGTATCTATTCTAACCAGCAGTTTCCACCCTCTACCCCTTTTTGGTGGATAATATGCCCCTCTGACACCCCAGCCAAAACTCAACTTTGGGACACTGAATACATGTGTAACTAATCTTGTGCAGATGCATTTAAGAATTGCTTACATTCTATTTTACATTTTTCCATAATACATTTAGATTTGTGTTCTATATGGTGAGATTTCACACCTGTTATGACATAACAAATAATAGCTGCCTATGTATAATACAATATACCTACCTATGCAACATGTTACAAAAGGTTCCTTTTCCACATCAAGGCCACTAATATTGTTAAACCAAAATTCTAATCATTAGATTTTTGTTAATAGTATACAATAAGTCAAAATAAAATAGGTGTAGGTGCTAGGTAGGTGGGTTGTATGCTTCGGAGCTTGTCGGTTGGCAGGTTTAAGGTAGGGAAGTTGTAGCTTGTAGGTACAGGTAGGTAGAAGGTAGATAGGATGTAGGCTGGTAGGTAATAGGTGGTATGGTGGTAGGATAGAAAGTAAGATTAGGTTAGGTAATGATAATGTTTTTCTTTCATTCAGACTTCTTAAACACTTTACGCAAGAGTAAAAGAGTAGAAGTCGGAATGAAGGAAAAACAATTAAGCCTGAACCAAACTTACATAACTACAAACCTACAACCTACCTACAACATACCAACACAAAACAGAAAACCTGCCAGCCTACAACCTCCCAGCTTACAACCTACATACCAACCTTCAACATTTTTTGGAGTCCTTGTACTGGTATACCTACTTTTACCAGCTAATGAAAATTGAAATTCCTGCTCTTCTAGGGCTGAAAAGATTAAAATCAAAATGAAATTTGTATCAACATTAACAGTAAAAACATCTATTCATTGACAACTTTGGCAAGTGTTTCAAAATCAGGCAACAAATCCACACAGCCTTGCTTTTGATCCCCACCGGGCTAGCGTTGTTGATCCAACTTACAAGTACCTAAACCAGCAAAATTAGACATCCCAAGATTCCTTACTTCCAGTGTTATGTCCTGCCTTTCATAACCACAATACAACAACTCAGCTTTCATCACGGCGCCAGTCCCTTTCTTGAAAGCATTCAAACTTGTTTGAAAATTCGACAAGCACTGAGCGCTACTCGCGAGAGTCCACTCCTGTTTTGCTACGTGTTCATGATCACAGCATACCTCTCATAGACGTGCGCCGAAAAGGCCCGCTCAAAATCTTTGATGCGTTGGCTCCTGGGGCCTACAAAATCCACAGCGAAGGCTCCCTGGCGGCTGGGGCGTCAGCTCAGCGTTGTCCCCTCGTGTCACCAGCATCCGATTGGTTCGCTCAGGGTTATTCTCGCCGCGGATTGGCTGGTTAGTCTGTTCGCTAGCAGTGTGCGAAAACGCCGTCAACAAATGCGATGCAGTGTGTTCACCATTTTCGTGACTTTGTCACCAAATGTCTCTGGTGCCTGTCAGCTTCTGTCGCCTACAATGTAAGCGAGTAGGAAGTTTTTTTGACCTCTGGTGGAAACATTCAGTCGTTCTATTTTGTCACATAAAACTTATTTTTTTCTGATGCATTTCATAGGATTCACGCTCGTCTCATGACATGCCATGTAAGGTAACTCATCTCTTAGCGGAGTGGTAGCATCCGATATTTCTTCCTTGTACCCATCCAAGAATGGTCATTTGGACATAACATTTAAATACCCATGGATACCTAACTGTTCATCATCTGAAGTTGCCAATGCAAATATGTCTCATTGCTTCTTAAAGTTGTCTACCGTCACTTCAGCTTGTTTCTATTCGTGACCTGTTAGCTAGGACAGGCTTAATGCTGATAAATTTTTCACTTAGCAGGATAAGCATACCTAAATCAATCCGGTTTTTCAAGACACGTTAGACCTGCTGCGCTAGCAGTACACAGCAGTCAGACCACACAGCCGGGTCTCCCATCCGACTCGCGGTTGAGGATCTACTGGGCTGGTAGACTGTGCCGCAGTACCTACGTGTGTGGCGGAACAGTCGGGGCGCAGGCGGCTCAGTCAACCGCGCGGGCTTCGCGCAGTCGTTGGCCCGAGACCGGCTAAAGCTAAAATTATTTGGCGATCAAAGGCTGTTTACACTTAGCCTGGAAGCCAGTCTATCTGATTAGGTTATAAATATGCATTCTATATTCTTATTTTCTTCAGATACTGGGAACCTTGTGACCTTGTCCCATTCACCGATCAAACACCAATATAAGGATATTTTGCACACAATAATTCCAATATACATACTTTCGAAGATCAAAACAGAATACTTTGGATGCAGATAATTATGGATCACCGAACTCAGAATATAGGTACCTACCATCAAAGGCTTGGAAAAAAGCAAATAAATTACCCAGTACTGCAGGCTCCTGGAGAATGTTTATTGGCTCTATCACTGTAACCACTGTATTTACACATCTCAGCGTTTCCAAATGGCAAATTGTGGACAGTGACCATCCAACTCCCCCGCATTCGTCGCAGGTGATCAGCTATGACTCGCCCCGCGGAGGGGTCAGCGTGGTCACCGAAAAGGGGGACGTGACCACGTCACACCTTCTCATCCGAGCCGCTCGTCCCTCGGACTCCGGGGTGTACAGCTGTGAGCCCTCCAACGCCCGCATCGCCACCATCATCGTGCACGTGTTGCAAGGTAAGAGCGCCCGCACAGGAGCCGATCCAGTACATAACAGTTGGCGTTGCAATGGGATGATATTCATCGGATGGTTAATTTGTGATGTCTTTTACTCGTTGTGGACATCGCGCATGTAAACTGGATGTACCCATGTCTAACGTTCTTACGAGGTGTTGAGGTGAGCAACCGAAGGTTTGTAATCAATAGTAAAAACACACTTTTCATTAGAATTGTATTTTCTATTGAAAAACAAGCTTGACTTCCCGGATAAATTTGCATATCGCTTCAGTACATTTTTATCCTTTCATTAGTTCAGTGTAAGAATATATAACATCACTTCATTAGCACACTAAGCCCATTCATATATCGCGAGTGTCACAAATAAAACATGATTGTCCCGGCTGCTTTTCATTTGACAAATCAAGAATTTGCTTTCCGGCCCCTGCATAAAAATGCATGAATGAGCCTGCATGTAAGGTCAATGTTGTTTCCTCTGCCAGCCGGTGCCTTACGACCGAATGAAAATAGTTCACACGTTCGAGCATATTGAAGGTAGAAGCAAATGAAATCCGCAGCGAATACATTGCGTCTAAAGACTACAACAGATGCACTTTCCCAGCGTCTACCGTCGCAAGTTTTTCATAGAAGGTATGCGGGAGTTCAATGAAATCGAAAGTTCTATTAAATTCCGTACCAAACTCTCATTGATCTCCAACACCTCTACTTCAGCATAACCTATTGCCGTCTAAATATTTGCCTCATTGAAGTGACAAATTGCCTGTTTTTATCTTTAAAAGTCCTTAACATGCGAGTTCATGCACATTATTTCAGCTTCTTTCGAACATCCATTGCCCAATGCTTAGAAATGCTATGCTCTAGATAAGTTTTCCTCTACGTCGATTATTTTGGGTCGCCTTTTCTCATTTTCGGTAGCACCAAAACATTGTCTCTGTGTCCGCTAGATCCAATATGTTCACTGAAATCAATACATATAAGAATGGATGCATAATCATCCAACATTTAACATATCTTTGAAATCCTTCTAACTATCCTCATTTACAAGAAACAGAAACTCAATGTCCGTAATTCTGACTTAACAATTGTTATTGTCTAGCGCCTGTCCGCAAACCATTGTTTTCCCTGCGCGTTGTTAGGGTGCCACCCGCAGGCTCACGCACAACATGCGTTTGCCAACAATGCTCCCCCTCGTCAGCCGAACGCTACGCTCCGGGCTCGGAAAAGAAGTGATGATTTCGCCACCGCAGAGCGCAGGCCTGTAAGGCGAGCCGTCGGCGCCGTCGGTGGCATCGGCCCGCTGTTTTCCCGACGTCGGCCCCGTCGACGGGGAGCGCTCGAAACACCCGCCCCGACACGGGGGAGTGTTTATCCGGTGTCTGCTCTGACGCGGTGCAGCCGGGCCGCCGGCAGCAGCGACAGGCCCTCCAGCGTTGTAGAGTCTCCCGCGGTGCTGCCAGACTCGGTGCGTCCGCCGCTGTCTGCGTCTCCGTTGCTGTCTACGTCTCTGCCACTGTCTGTGTCTCTGTCTGTCTGTCTCTGCTCCTCGACAGCTCAGTCGTTGCCAGCCGGCCGCCTCCCGAGACACGCAGGCTCAGTGCGTCCGCCGCCGTCTGCGTATCTGCTCCTTGACGTCTCAGTCGCTGCCGGCCGCCTCTTGTGGCACACAGCGTCCGAGTGACGTCTCGTGCCGCCCGTCGGCATCGACTCGGCAGAAGTGCGCTCGACGTTAGACGTCAGCGCCGGACGTGCTGCCCGATAGAGCCCCTCTTTCTCCCTCAGTGCGACTCACTCCTCTACCCTCTCTCCCCACCGCCTGGGGCGATCAGCCGGGCGGCGGCGGCGGCGCCAGAGAGCTCAGCGGATTTGGACGACGCGCCGCCGCCGCAGTGGGCGAACCACGTGCGGTCTCGCTCTTAGTGCCGCCGGCGCCGTCACCTGCGGCAAATGACCCTTGGGTGGAGAGTCCGATATTCTACCGTGCCGGATTGGAGCCACCGCGCCACCTCAGCTGGAGGCGAGGGCCTGGGAAATCAGTCCCGAAGCCCAAATCAAACTGGGGTGGACGGGCATGATGTTTGCGACTTTGGTTTATTAAAACGATTCTTTTTTAGTGTCACATAAGCGCTGACTGATTTGGAAATGCGGAGTTCATTCGTGGGGTGAATGGGAGACACCTGCGACCTTATCAACTTTATCATATCTCTCCAAAACTTTCCCATGAACCAGATCAGCATCTGCGCTCGACCCTAATGCCCCCGGAGCAGGGGCGGCATACAGATGAATGACGACTGTCGCTAAGGACTGGCAGCCGACTCGAGCGACTAATTTGCCTCTGACGAAGATGGTCTCCTGTCGGCGGCGGCCGAGGCGAGGCACAATCTCTCTTCGAGGCTTTGCAACACGTAAAGCCTTCGGTCATAAATTTTAATAGTGAACAGGAGCCGACCGCAAAATGGGGTGGTGAGGGTCAGGACGCCGGCAACAGGCACTCGTAACCCGCTGCTAGCTTATCGAAAGAATATGAACCGGTGATATGGTAAACATCCAGCTACTCTGCATGTCCTCGTTCTTCTTCATTTTTTTCTTCATTTTCTTTCTGTAACAGCTCGTAGTACGTTCGGTAGTGTTTTACATAGTGTTTTATCGGTTTTACGGCTAAGGCACAGCTAAAATCATATGCTCTTTTCATGTGTAAGACGCTCGAAAATTAAGCATGTTTTTGCATACGGTATTCTTGTTGCGTCTTTCTTTAAATCCTGTTGACTGCCAAATCCATGATATGCGAATAGTAGGTACTTTGTGTCGTGAATATCCGTTTATGTGATAGGTATTCTCTACGATGACACTATCTAGTATCTGGGACTTGGGTCATATCGGTTCACTCTTCCTCTTTAATGCGGAGCTATAATTATAACGCTGCCGAGTCTGCCATCCACCCAGAAGTGGCCAGATTCCTCTATCGATTATCGAGGAAGCGTAGCAGCGCCGTCCGAGTGTGCCCCAGGCGCACATATCCTCACGGCTAATATCTCGCCGCGCTCAACAGTGCCCCCGGCCATCACTATATTACTGCTATATTGGGCTACGGCACGGGAACGAGGAGGAGTCGGGTGGAGCGAGCGAAGACTGTCTGTCTCTGTCCTCTCTGTCTATGTTTCTGTCTTTTTTTCTATCTCTCTCCATCTCCCCTCTACCAAATGACTCAGTAACTCTTCCTCAGTCCTCCTCTTTTTCTTTCCCCTCTTTATCCTAAAATGTTTCCATCCTGCCTCCCTATTTTCTCTTTTCCATTTCCCTTCCTCAGCCACCCGTCCCTCTTTCCTTATCGTTGGACACGCTGCGACGCGTCGGAAGAGGCCAGGAAGGGCGCAGCCTGCGAGACGGCGGATAGCCGACTTTAATCTGCCGGCCAGTCATGCGCGATATTGACTTTCGGCGCCCCGCGGCGAACCATTCCGTGTAAATTACCTGTTGTGAGTCGACAGCGTTCCAAAGCAAACGGTGAACGATTAACACCATCTACTACAAAGTGGAAACACTGATTTTGGGTTTCGACCAGCCTGTAAACAAGTTTTGTGGATTCGTTGCGAAAAAAGAACGCCAAATCGTTTGCTAGGAATGCAACACTTGCAAGAAATGCTAGGTTTGATCATGCAGCACCCGATGCAGCACTTTTTGTCATCTCTGTACGCACTATAAAGTCAATTAGAATCATTTGAAAAGCGTCTCGCCGCCACAGGACCTCTCGCCGCCACTACCGGTACTGCCGGCTTGTCGCTCTAAGTCGGGCCTTTTCGGCGTGGTGACGGCGGAGCTCCATCGGAGCCGACAGACGACGCGCCGCGGCCGTCGTCGCCGAATGGAGGCGTGCTGCAGCGATCGTGTCACTCTGACAGCCCCGTCGGGCGTGAATGCCGCCGACAGAGACGGCTCTGGCGGGCGGTGGGTAACGGAGGGGCCGACGGTGGCTGTGGTGGGGGCGACGGGGGGACGACGGGGCGTGAGGTGGTGGACGGTGGTCGAAAACGGTGCAAAACAGCTGATATGGCGGGTGATGATGTTTAGATGGTAGGGTGTGGTGGGAGCTCGAAGCAAGGTAGCGATGATATGGGCCATGATAAAATTAAGACGGGGAATGTGCATTCTAGCAGTAGGGGAGGAACAATAATTTGACCATTCTGACGGATATCTGAAGGTGGTGCATCGGAGGTGGCTTTGCGGTCGGCCGAACAGCTTGGCTCATCTAAAACCACCAGTAATCGCGGGCACTGATGATCACATAATGAACTTTCCGGCCCTCTGAGTTGCTAATTCCTGAACTGCACGACCTCCATAGCCGGTCTAAGCTCCAGCAGTGTCTACGGTGAACTAATGATGACCCAGCCGGAGCCGGGATTAACCTCCGAGTTGACCCGTTGACCCGTTAATCTGACCCGCTGACCCGTCTGACCCCGGCGTCTCTCCTCTGCTCTTAGGGGAGACTCCGGCGGCGATGCATACCTCAGGAGGCCACCGCTGGGACGCGGCACCAGCTCTGGTCGTCTTGATACTTCAGCTGCTGTGGCAGTTCGGCACGTGAGCCGCCCACGACCCGTCTGGACGTCCCGCCGGCTGGACCGCGGGTCAAAGGTCAACGGCTGGCGACTGACCGAGGTCGGAGGTCACCTGTTTCTCTGGCCGGATGGACCACGTTCACACTCCTGAGTGAGATTTGAGAGGAGACTAATCATGTCTATGGTCAGTGATCGGTGACTGTGACCTGGCATGGGACGATTTGACCTTGCCGTGACGCTGACTCTGTGAAATTGAAGGTGATGGAAGCGTCACTGGACGACGTCAGATGATGGTCGTGTAACGTGACCGGACAAAGGATAGGCGACGGTCGAGTGTTCTCCCATTGGAAGTGCTCTCGCGGCTGTTCTTACATGTCTTTGCCGGGTCCAGTGTGTGTGGATCGCTCCGCGCGCGCTCAGTGGTTAACTGATGGCGGAGTAAGAACGAAGCGAATGTGATCTAAGTGGGAGAGAACTTGGTATGAGTGTGAAAATAGCGAGACTCAGAAGCCCGTGTGGTTGTTATGCTTTCCCAGAATGGGACATATGTATGGGCATTATGGGATCAGGCGTCTTGTTGCGCCACTGCAGGTTTGTCTGAATGTAGGACTGATCACTGCAAAGAGCCTCAGTGAGGTTGCGCAGACGTGAGCGGAAAATGGGGCAGACCTGTGTCGAGTGCTCGGAGAGACACCTGCCTCTAGTACGTGGACGTTTGGCGGAGATCAGCGTTAAACTAAACGGGGTGACAAGCTCAGCAGGTCGTGTGCAATGTTCTGGTGACGCCGAGAAAGGACTCGAAAAAGAGATAAATCTACAAAAATGTGACCACTCGGCGCGGATGTCAGCTTACATTTGATGGCAGCGCTGCTGGTCAGCTCCAGTGACGCGACCTTCCAGGGCATCATTGTATCGTCGCGTATTGTCTGCTCGCTGTGCGCTCGCTGAGTGGTTTCTTACAGGCGCTGTCTCTTTGCGTTGTGTATTGGACATCGGCGTCTCCAGACGATGTAATAAAAACCTAAAAATGTATCATTTCTCGGTTGGAATGTGTCCCTGAATGTTCCAGCTGCATCGTCATAAAAGTGTGTGATTTGGTGTGTAGCTTCTCAGCATGCTGCGAGTGTGAGGTGATTAATGATCAGTTCTAAAAACTTCTGGTGAGCGGTGTCTGTCGTGGTTGACTGATGACTGAGATGACTGAAGGCACTGAGAGCGTCCTACATGATAACAGTAACTGCATTCAAGGGCATCATTTGCTGCTGCTGTTGAATGGATATTTGGAAACAATTGAACGTTCGATACATCATGTGAGATGCTATTACGTCAATAAAAGTTGGCATTCTGAACGGCCCGCTTCCAAAATGGCAACCAATATTTCATACGCTATTCCGCCTCGCCTCCGCGCTCATTTAATTTGCTAGAGTTCTGGTTGCAACTTGCAAAAGCTCGTTTTTTAGATTTGCCAAGGTTTTCAGAACTCTTCATCTCCATAACTCCATGTTCGTGATCATTTTTCCTGAAAATGATAGCCAATTCAATTGCAAGCGCTTCGTTTAGAAAGTCGATGCTATGACGAATTTTCATAGGGCACAAATATCTAGCGAGCGCAGTAGGGTTTTCCGGGACTGTTCGCAGGGAGGTTCCTTCAAAACACCGTCATACCTAAAAAATATAACTGAAAAAAGATAACTGGATGCTTCGACATTCGCTTTTCCCAAATGACTTAATTTTTATCGCCAATGTCAGCGAATCATGACATGAATGGCCAGTCATGTTGACACATGTCCACGGGATTTACAGGCGGACGGAGACTCGTGTCGGCTGATGTAGCGCGACATATGAGCATCAGTTCACCATTTCTGGAGATCACGGGTGTTCGTTTTTGTAGAGCTGTTGCCGAGCACGACAGACACGGGCTGAGCTGTCAAAGGTTTGTACAGCTGTTAGAGCGCAGGATAGATGTGACTGGATGCCGTGCAAAAATGTAGCGGAGTGAGTTTCTCATTCAAATGCTCGGCTGGGCCCGGACAAATGCCATGAATTCGACAAACTAAGTCAGTGATTTGTCCTTGGTTCACCCATGTTCTCTGTATCTACCATCAATCAGTCCCTCTCTATCTTTGCTCCTTATTTGTCTTGATTTCTGTCACTTCTTGATCATTTCTTCAGATGAATAGCATGCAAAAAAGCACAAGACCTGAGAGCAAATAGCGAGCGCAAAGCAGGATAAGGCCAGGCTTTCACAAACGAGACAGTCTGCTAACTGATCGACTTTTTCTTCGCATTAGTATCGTTTCATGTTTCTTTTTCCGTTTCCGCCACTGCCTTTAACTCCGCCTCCGTCTTGTCTTCATGTATGTGTTTTCCATCTCTGTCTCCATCTCTATCCCTATCCTGTCTCCAACTCCACGTCTACATAGTTATGTCTCCTGGCTTGTCCTGTCGCCATATCCATCTCCTTCTCCGTACCCTGTTTCCGTGTCATTCTGGGTCGCTGGTGCATCTGGCAGTTCCATCGCGCTGCGCCCGGTGCGTCTGACAATCTGACATATCGACATGCCCCACTGCCCCTGTACGGCGTGGAAAAACAGCAACCGATTGGTGACCTACCGACCCCCAGCATTGCCGTGCTTGACCCCATTGATCGATACCTACAAACATAAGCCAAGCTTTTAGCCTACGTAGACGTCAGGCTTAGTGATGGCAATTTAAAATCAATAGGAAAACGAAATTAAGCCAAAAACTTCAACCAAAATTATGACAAAATATTAACCATCAAATCATTTGGGTAAGTGAATCTGGATACGGTGCATGATAAGTAAAACAAATAAAGCTCGCAGTCGATCGGACTTCCACATTTTAGGGATGGGAGGACGGAACTTCATAGGTGCGCGATCAAAGGACAGACTACATGCACTCCTATTCAACAGACAGGATGTGACGAGCCAATAGCTTTGATTTGTCAGTGCTGATCAGGGTCAGCCTACCCAGGGCACAGCGCTAAGACGACGATCGACAGACTCCTCGGAAAGATCATCTGAAACGTTGATTCCAAACTGGTGTGAGGCTCGGTGAAAACGTGAACGTGACGCATGCCAGTGTTTCACGACCTGTTGGGGATAGTAATAGGGCTAGTGAAAACAATGAATGTCAAATCTAATGCCTATGACATGCTTTTTACATTTTAGCACTGTAAATTGGGTTAGATCAGCAGGAATACATACACTTCAAAAACAATGGTACTGGCTTCTCTGGCCAAATTCAGACACAGTGCCCGTCGATATAGCACTGACAGGACTATCGCCCCGATAAAAGGCTTTCAGTTTTTGCAACATTACGAGTAATCTAGATTACAAGTCTGACAGAAAACGCTCCGACTCATCAAGCCTCCCTTGCAAATCGGCAGCAGAAATCACTGATTACTTGTCGGACCCTCCCTCTCCCAGCGATCAGTAAGATAAACCATCGTCGTCGCCATCAGCTGGTCACCCATCTCATCCCTGCGTCCCGCCCCGAACATCAGCGCCAGAAACCATCACATCAGTCCAGCCTCTCTCCCTAGTTTTGTGCCACTCGGGGAAAGAACCAGCGGTCCATCTCATTGTCTATTTGTTCAGTGACAAACGGTCTTCTTTATTACTCTGCATAGTCCCACCAAGGCTCTCAGACCGCAGCAACAAGACTGATCCGTAACAACAACAATAAGCATCGAAGGTACACGACTCTCATCACTGTCTCTCCACCCGAGAGAGGGAGGGGCAGGGCGGCACAGGGGAGGGGGCGGGGACAGCCCACGGCTTGCCAGCGCGAGCGGCCGCTCTCGCCAATGTCGATCTCACGAAGACCAGGTCGGCCAAATGGTGATGACGGCCCCTGTATGCAGACAGCGCCGAGAGACAATGGTGGCTGCCTGGCAGTGATAAGCTGACAAGGGAACCGGCTGTGATGTGGGCAGCAAGGACAAGGCTGGGTTACGACAGGTGATGGGATGACATGTGTGTTATGATGAGGATAAATAGGCTCGCGACGATGCACGATCTGGCTTCGGGGACACTCCTTTTTTGTCTTGTGCCTAAAGAGACCTTCAATAAATGACGAACTGATTGCGGACCACTCTCTATTGTTCTTTTACTTACTCGTAATGTAGATCCCAACTATGTGACCAACAACTTCAAGGAATTATTTCGTAGCAGCCCTCAGCTGTGACTTCCGTGATAAATTCACATATAAGCTAGGCGTATATATATAGTACATCCAGCACAGGTCATCCCTACGCACGCGCACACACACCTACACGCAGCCCCCCCCCCTCCCCCCCCCCCCACACACACACAGGCCAAGGAAGAAGAGCCCCGGCGCGGGACGGTTCGGCCGCCGCCGGATATTCGTTAGGAAGTGGCCGGGAGGAGGCAGAGAGGAAATTTGGGGGGGGGCGGACAACCGATAGTAACATGTTATGTCATACGCTACATGTGCCACGGGCACATTATCGATACTTTTGTGGAGCAGAGCAACGTTAATGAAGAGTAGTACAACCGCTAATGAAAAGTAGCATGGGCATTTACAGACGTTTGCTGTAACTATACCACTGGCGTTTTTGCTGTCGGCCAGTTCTTGTATGCCACTCTAGCCAAAAGCCGCATCATAAGTTATGGAACATGTCATTTGCTCCTGAAGTACTCCACTCCGTCAAACACTGAGCGATAGCACCGTCCTGCACTCCGGGGCGCAGCCTGCTCTCTACAACATCAGCAATGATTCGATGGCGCGGCGCGACATAGCTCAACAATTAATGTCCACATCAGTGTCAGAATAATCGCGAACAACTCTGGCGATTCTCGGCCGCGGCAGTGTTCTCAGTTGTTTGTCTGAATGGTTCAGTGGGTTTACGACCTCCTAAAAACGGGAGGCGACAGGATAGCGGCCTACGTACGTCGCTATCGCTGCAATCTTGGCAACACGCAGGACCCCACACGCTCATGTTTCACTGGTGTGAACTGAACAATGTTCTCACGGCATAGAGGCAACCTCGCGCGGAGGCGGATGCACTGATGCAGGCTTACGATTGATTGTACTACAGGATGAAACCTGGATTAGCATGTTAGCACCAAAAGTTGTACATAATAAAGCATATTGCGAGGATAAGTGGGATGATTAAATTTAACTGCTTTGAAGATCCTACACTTCGTTTTTTCAAACTTGTTTGTTTCTATACCGCAATAGCATCTATTTATATTTGGCACCTGACTACAGTCTTAGCAAAGCTCCTGTGTTCCTATAACCAGGCTGCCTGCCTCACATACGCAGGGTAATTACCGAAGATGGATTGTTCTGCCACGAAAAATTGCCTCTGGACGACTCGCTGCCAGTCCATGCATAGCCACCAACGCATATATCTCATATGGTGATTGGTGAGCGTGCGGTCTCGTCAAAAGCACGGTCCCCCTCAATATCACTAAACGAGCGGGGATTCCGGTTGAGTGCAGCGTTCCATCAACATTTGCCCGTGCCAGCGTGTAACCGGTACTGGCGTGCATAGGCGGCGGAACGGGGAGGGCACCGGGGCACCGTGCCCCCTTTGATTTTGGCATTTTAACATTAGCCCTATGGGCGTTGCATGAAAAGAATGGGACCAAAAGTCGGCAGTGCCCTCCCCCCCCCCTTAATTGAAGGTGTTTCGCCGCTACTGTTGGCGTGCGGGTCATTTTGGGCACCCTCTTATGCGTATCATGGGAATGGAGAGCCTCGGGGGAATGCTTTTCTTTGTCGCTTCTGTCGAAGATAGAGTAATATTATGAGCACAAAAATTTCACATTTAGTTCATATTTTTATCAATTCGGTTCACAGAGGCCTCCTAAGGCAGCACTGGGCTTGTTTTGCCGATGTTCACAAAGTCCTCATTGGCAAACAGTGAACCTCCTGGATAATAAACTCGGTATTATTGGCTTCCCATATGTCAGTACATAATTGGACTCACGAGGGGCCCTCATTGGTTTCAGTCTCCATCACGGGCGTCCTGGGCTGGCAGATCTAAGCCCTCGTTTTATCTAAACCACCACAAGTCCTCCAGAGTCGGCAATATAGGAAGTCCCATATGATTGAGTGACAAATGGGACTTATAGCATGTGTTTCCCTTGGGGTCTCAGCATCTCGATGCTGGAGCCTAAAGCAGGACCACAGTTATTTCAATTTCTACCAAGCCTCTCTAATGATGATGCGTTATCCCTCGGTTCCGGCGCTGATATCTCTGCGACGCCAGCAGCAGCGTCTCTCGGCGCTGATATTGGCGTATCTCTGATTATGACAGCGGTGCCTCTCCGGGCTGATACGGCCAGCTGTGGACTGCGATGATGCGCAGGCATCCGGAGCCAGAGCCTGGCTGGCAGACAATACCAGCAATAAGCCCGTGCCCGGGTGCGCGCGGACCCGCTCCGCCGCATAATGCGATAAGCCGAGCGGTAACGCAATAATATGAGTGGTAATCTGATG